GCTTTAATTATGTTCAATTTGTAACAATGAAAATACATCCTGCATATCAGACATTTACATTACGATTCATAACAGTAGCAAAATTACAGTTATACAGTAGCAATGAAATTAATGTTATGGTTGGGGGTCACCACAACATCAGGAAATGTATTAAAGGGTCGTGGCATTAGGAAGGTTGCGACCCGCTGGTCTAGAGGATTCTTCCTTGCCTCTTCCTAGCTTCTGGTGGTCGACAGCCATCCTGGCATCCCATGACTTATACATTCATCACTCCAATCTCTGCCTCCATTTTCTCATGGCCTCCTTCCCTGTCTCTGTTTTTATAAGGGCATCAGTTACTGGATTAGGGCCCACTCTCATCCAGTATGACCTCAATTTAACTTGAGTACATCTAAGGAGATCCTATTTCCAAATAAAGTCACATTCACAGGCTCCAGAGGTTAGGACCTCAACAAATCTTTTGGGGGGACACATTTCAACCCATAACAGAGCCCTGCACATATTGAAAAGATCCTTTAAATTTTGCAATGGGTTTAAGTTACTAAAGAGGAGTTCATAAACATATCCCTTTTTCAGGATTAATAAACATCATTTTCAGGTGTCCATAATCCTTAAACAAGTCATCTGTTAAATACACAAATTCTTAGACTGAGGCCTGAAGGGTGAGCATAGATACTCTTCTAATATACCAGTTGCTAGTGGATTTCCTTTACTCTCTCTGCTCCATTACAGAAAATCAGGTCAAGTCATCTAAAATCTCCATCTTCCTGAGGTTCTCAACAGTGCCTCACCCCACAAACATGGCCAAGTCTACCTTCCTTCACCAAGCATTTGGAGAAGTCCAACTGGCCTCACTAACCCATGCTTCCTCCTCGGCTACATGACTCCCTGCTGACCAGTCTCCTCTCAACTTCCAATTCCTCTGCACATTCCCAGCCCTGCACCTTTGCTCATGCTATTCTATGAATCCTGAATGCCCCTCTCCTGCTCTCCACCAACCCATTGCTTGTTCAATCTTCAAGCCCAGGCTTCTTTGTAAAGCCTCCCTGAATGAACTCTACTCCACACTGACCCTCATCCACCCCTACCCCATGCCTTCATCCTTGAAAACCTGAGGTTCTCAAACTTTACTACGCAATGGAATTACCTACAGACTCTTAAATACAGATTCCTGAGCCTGTCCCTAGATGTTCTGATTCAGGACAACTGGAGAAGGGGCAGGGATCTGCATTCTTACAAATACTCTTACGAATTCTGATGCAGTGACCTAAAAGTCACAGACCAAAAAAAGTCACTAACAAACTGCCCAGAGCACGATATTTTGCTCATATAGTACTTCAGACATGGCCTATATTTTCTGTGTTATAGGATGCCCCATATCTTACATAGTGTCTGAAAAAGAAACATGTTGTCAATAGAAACATGTTGAATGAATGAGCTCATTAGATAGATTATCATCTGTTTAGGACAGAGAATAAAACTGGAATTGAGGTGGTACAAATGATAATATTCTTAGAAGAGAAAAAAAAGCAATGAACAGTTTGGAAGATATTTAAATACTCTCAAAAAAACCAAAGCAAACAAACAACCCAAAAAAACCTGGGTCTGTTTTAACTTTCCAAAGAAACCAGTAAAAATAAAGCCTGCTGATAACCATGCTTCTTCTCTGATTAGGTAATCTATGCCGTTGCACTGGGTATCGGCCAATTCTCGAGAGTGGAAGGACATTCTGTGTGGTGAGTAGGTGACTATGGGGACACCCTACAGAGCAAGAATGACAGTGACAGCTGGTCAAGGCTGGGACTATAGGAGTTTAATTTTTTTAGACCCTCTAAACAGACTATAAGGAAGACCAAGTGTGTTGGCTCCAACTGACTCATGGGAGTTATAGCTATTTAAGGACAGAGTGAACATTATGACTTTTCTGATGTTCCATGTCCCACCACAGAGGGAAGTCAGGTGACCTAACCAGCCATCCAGACATCTGCTATGACTAGTTAAGAGAGGCATCAGGACAGGTTGGGTAACAGAACTCCAGCAAACCCAAGAAGACAAGCAAAGGCCTAGAGTTAGCTTTGAGGAGGCAAGGTTTGTCCCAAGAATTCAGACCAACTGGGAAAGCGTGAGCAGATGAAGAAGCCAAACATGCTGAGTGGAATCCAAAATTCACCCCAAGTACAAGAGCACAGGGAGTTTCCTCTACAAACTGGGAATACCTCACTGGGTTGATGTGAAGGTCAAATGAGAACTGTGGCCAAGCATGTAGCAAAGTCTTGCTTGGCACTTAGTAAGAACTCAACAAATGGTTACTACTGTTGCTGAGGATGCTGTTGACACTATAAACAGCATTTGATGGAGAGACCAAAAGGGCACAGCTGATTATCTTCTGCTGAGGGCAGATGGATGTAGGTGGTACTACGCTTAGACCCAAGCAAGGGGGGCCTCACACTTTGAAGGGTCCCTCGCTGGTCCTCCTCCAGCCATTCTCAGGAGGCCATGGGGCCAAAGCAACTTGTTCACCTGGAGTCTTCACCTCTTTCTAGACCAGTCTCCCGGTATGGCTTTGACCCCATTTCCAGGCCTGACACAAGCCTCTTCCCAAGTCCATCTATCTAAGGCAGGTCATAACAGCCAGTGTGTGCACCCTTAGGAAGAAGATAGGCAACCACTGGCTGTTTGTGGAGAGAATGGTCAGAGCTTGGACATTCACATTGGGGTTCTCACAGGTGTTTGAGGCCCCTCACAGTACAGAACAGAGCCAAGGTGGGGAGAGAAGGGCAGCAGGGGGCCTCCATTTGTTCTCTTGCCCCAGCTCTACAAATAAGAAAGGTAGGGAAGCATATTGCGTTCCCCAGAGCCAGGGGGTCCCCCTTACATGCATGTCCCAGACTTCTGCCACACGGGGGAGCCAAAGTTAACAAGCTGAGAAATAAAAAGAATAGCTTGTATACCCATCAAACTGCTGGTGTAAAAGGAAAAGCACTTGTGAAATACAAATAAAGGAAGTTAAAGAAAACCTCTCTCTGTCTGGAATGTGGATGTTATCCACCTTTCTAGGCAGACTCTGGGGATAAAGGCAAAAAACGTGGTCAGAGACCCACCCTGCAGCCAGCAGACCATGGTAACTTTAAGGAACCGAGCCCCAGCAGGNGCAAGAGACATAGTTAAGTTTTCAAAATATACACGCTTCCTCTCCTACATACCCCAAATTGTGTCTTAGAGACCCTTGGGGAATATGGGGAATCAAAGGAAGACATGTTTCCATTGAAAAAGCTCTTCAAGTGATTCCAAAATGTTCTCTCCCTCTGTCAAGAACTCTGACACCCTAGATCCTGGTAAGGAGATGGTGGCAGGAGAGTGAGGGGCTGGAAACCACATCAGTAAGAGGAATGGCAGGGAGGGGACAGTCAGAGGGATCATGATAGCTGCCTTCAAATATTTATAGACTCCTGAGGACACATATGATTTATTTCACATGATCACAAAGGGCAGAAGTATAACCGATAGGTGCGAGTCCAGGGAGGCACGTTTCAGCTCAGCGGAAATGAGAACTTTCGAATCGAGCTGTACATCAGGAATGGCGATTCCCTCTCCTCACCCATGTTCCGGCTCAGACCGCAGCCACCCGGATGGTCCCTGTGGATTCCATCACTATGTGGGGAGGAGGGTATGGAGTTGAATGGCTAGTCATTGTCCTCCCAAGTTCTGAGATGCTACAGGCTCAACCAGATCCAAGTGGGATCTTCCAAGAAGAAGAAAAAGTCACCCTTCCCTCAAAGATGTGAATGCCCAGGACCCCTACATGGCCCACGTGAAGTCTGGCCATGTCAGAGGCTGTGTGAGATGAGGCTGAGGTCCTGTGGACGCAAGGCAGGACAGCATCTCTGCAGCCGGCACAGAGGCCGCCTGTGCTGTGGCCAAGGCTATATTGGGGGTGGTTCAGAACTGGCCGCTGAACCTTGCTGCTTGAGTATGAATTGTACTCCTGTCCCTTTCTAGCTGGAAGACCTTGGTCAAGTTTCATAATTTCTCTGTGCCCCAGTGTCTTCATCTGTAGAATGGGGGAATTGCATCAATCAAACTGGGTTGTTGTGAGGATAAGTGAGTAAATATGTGTGAAGGGGCTGACAGCAGGTGGAACATACCAAATGCTATGCGAGTATTAGTTACCATCAATTCCTCTCTATCCAAAGTAGCGAGCAGGAGGGGGCCCTCTCAGACAAGAATGAACTCCTGGACAGTGTGAACGAGTCCCTCTGCGAAGGAGACCCAGACTCCCCTGGGTCCTCTCGCTACCACAGAGGAAGGACCACAAGCAGGTGCCTTTGGGACACAGGATTTGAACAGAATGACCCAGGTTGTAACTCTCTCTCCTTAGTCCTTAGGGGGACATATCATAAGCCGGCATTACTATTCGGATCTGAATCCAATTCTGGCTGTCAGCAACACTACTCTCAATCTGATATCGGAAGGTAAGCTACCTCAGAACACTCTGAACATCACCTAAAGATTTTTTTGTCCTTTTTTTTTTTAAAAGAAATCTTTGAGTCAGAGCCCATGTCTCTGGCTCTTTGTGCACCATGGGGAGCTCAGGCTCCCGGAGGAAGGCGTGTTGGTGTAAGGGGGTGGCTAGTGCTTCCTTCTGGTACCACCCTGACAGACACACGACACCCACCGTGGACCACAGCTCGGTCAGGCCGCATGTCAGCAAGGGGTGCAGAGGCTGAGGCTCAGGCTCTCTGTAGCCTGAGGACTGCCCCTTCTTCCTCATGTCCACCCCCCCAACTGCCCCAACACCCCTCCGGAAGTGCTCCGCGTGCACACTGCCTCTGGCTGCTCTGAGGCTGCTGACACTCCCCTTACTGGGCACTAACTGTGTGCCAGGCTGTGCTGGACACTTTACACAGAGCTAGTCTAATCCATGTAACCAACCAGTGGAAGTCACTTGCAGAGGCAGACGTGGGATGGGAACCCCATCCTGTCTGACTTCCAAACGGGTGTGCTTGCCTCTTCTCCATCCGGGCTTCCCCAGGACCTCTACCTTCTCCTTCCCAATGCGTCTCCCCCTCCTTCACCCACAGCCCTTCAAATACCCACTCCTGCTGTCTATCCCACAAAAATGGTCCATCATTCACCCCTCCATGGGCTGACACAGGCCCAGGCACCCAGGGGAGGCAGTCACAGGCTGCTCCACACGTGTCTGACCAGCAATTATATCACAGGCGTCCTAAAGCTCGCCGGGGGGTTGTTGGCCAACACAATCCCATCCCTGACTGGTGGGAACTCAGTGTTGGGAGAGACTTGGCAGTAGAGGAAAAGCAGTCCCACCCCTATTCAGCTTCGCATGGGGCCCAGCCAGGAGGGAAGAGAGGAAAGGCCTCACCCCTGCCTGGCCTCATCAGCCATTTGCTGAGTCCTCCAGGTTTGTGATCCAGGAGGAACCCCCGCCCCCTCCCACTTCAACCCCCAAAGACCAGGAGAGAAAAAGCCAAGACTCTGGGGCATCAGGATAGCAAGGGGGCAGCTTGGCTCAAATGCAGGCCCTATACGACAATAGAAGTTGTAGAAGTGTTTTTCTACTGGGCCATTGCTCATTGCCCTCTGCTTAAGGTCTGTTTTCCCAGCTCTGCCAAAGCACCTCCAACCTGAGTGAGGCCCAGCTCCAGCTAGGCCAGTAGATGAGCTCACTGACCAGCAGCAGGGCAAGCCAGCAAAGGTCAACACGGGCCTCTTTGGGATGCCCCTCCCCTCTCAACTACACCTATCTTCCAATCAGCAGATGGCTGCTAGTGCCAGGAGTTGAGCCCCTGTCAGGATCTCTAGGCTGTATTTCGAGCTGCTCACCACACGTCCTGTGGAGCCACATAAACCACTTTTTAAAGCTGAAGGAGCTGTTCAGACCACTCTGGTAACAATTGGACTGAAAGGAGGTTTTGTGAATTGTTCCCTTTGCTTTAAAGGTGTAGGTACCCAGCTTAGGAGCCAACAGCAGCAGCAAGAACAAAAAATAAATCCAGTGGTTTGACCTTTGTTAATCGTGGAAGCAAACCCTGTCTCAGCTTAAGTTACGCCCTTACTGTGATCACAGAACTGACCAAGTTAGATTTAGTTAATCAGCCTCTGTTGAAAGATGAAAACCAAGCAGGCCTGCCAGGCCCTCAAGGAGGGAGGAGATGGGTGGACAGAGCACAGGCACCAATAAGAGTAAATGTCACAAAGTGGCCGCCACCCCTCCCTGTGGAGGGAACAGGGTTGCGCTGACTGGCACTTACTCAGATCTCTGCATCACTCGGTGCAGAGAAAGGTGACCTTTGCTTCTCTGCTGCTGACATTTTAGAGTATAGAATAATCTTGCATTCCTTGTTACCATGTATAGAAATGTCATTTTCTTTAACAGAAGGTACACGGCAGATTCCTCTAAACGAACATTTTCTTGCTGGGTTGGCAAGTGCAGACTTTAAGCCAGAAGAAATTTTGGAATCTGTGTATATCCCTCACTCTCAAAAGGTAAGATATTCCACTGGTTGCTTTTGAGAGTTGTTTTTCCCTTTTCGTAACTGAGTCCAGTCATCTTTAGAAATCTGAAAACAGATGGAAGGAAAATAACTCTGCCCATAAAATAATAACTTCCTGTCCGCTGTGGACTGGCCCAGCACCAAGGCCCACAGACACCCTTGAGCAAGCAGCTCTGGGGTGCAGATTTGGGGTGTTGTTTCAGCTGTGGGGTGGGGCCTGCTGAAGGCCTGTGGTCGTGCTTCCTTGCGTCTACAGAGCGACTCTGGGAGGTGGAAATTAAAGCTCTCTGACAGTGGAATGAGCTTCTCTGCCTGACCCACAAGGCTGGGGCCAGGCCTCCCCACTCTCCACTCTAGCTAACCCCAGCAGTTCCTAGGAACATGAGGTCCTCCAGACGTCTGCTAACACAGGATCCCTGGGGCTGATGTGGCCACCCAGCCGGCTATGGAGGGGGCTCTCTGTCCTCACTCTCAGTTCCCTGTTCCTCTCCCCAAAACTGTACCTGAATCCAAGAGGACAATTTTCCTAGAGAGAGTCAATACACACACACACACACACACACACACACACACACACACACACACACACACACATACACACTGATCANAGAGAGAGTCAATACACACACACACACACACACACACACACACACACACACACACACACACACACATACACACTGATCAAAAGCCAGGTGTCAGCTGGTTTATGAAGGAAGTCTTAAATTAAGTCATGCTTTCAGCCATGCATGATCTTCATTTATTTTTCCTGTGAAATGGAAACTCTGAAATGTGTTCCCAGTCAAATGTGCATCTATGTAAAGGCCGCAGACAAAAAAAAAAACACAAGCCAACTCAAACATAGCTCCCTGGGTGGCCACTCAGATGGAAACACACTTGGAGGCACAGGCCATCTCCATTAATCACCTATCAGCACAGCAATGGTTATGGTGCCAAAGGGCCAGTGGGGCAGCCACCACCCTCCTGATTCCTGTTCCTGATACAAGATTCCTTAGTCCACTGTTGGAAAGTTCATTTTGACTCCTTTATGAGCTCTGCAAAATGGAAAGTGATTGTTTCTATAAACCAAGAATGTGGTGGGTCTCTTTTGCACTTTAAACAAATCACATTTAAAAGCACCAGTGTTGGGAGGGCGCCTCCATCCTCACAGGGGACAAAGGTGTCTGAAGACTAGAGGGAATGGCACTTGGAAATAAGAGCACATGGAAATGATCTAGGCATTCTGTGCAGAGACATCCTGACCTCGCAGGAAAAGTGCACAATGACCCCCGTTTCTTGAGGAGATCGGGCGTTGAGGTACGGCCTTTGGGAGGACACCATTCTCACTTTCAATAAGAAGGCAGCCAAGTTGCTCTCGAATCATGCCAAGTGTCCTTTGGGTCCCTTTAGATTGAGTCTAAAATGATTAATTAGTGGCACCAAGAAGTAGAAACCATGCTCTGAGTTTTGGCATATTAAATAACCCTAAATGTTTTTTGTCCACACAGTGGGAATTTGTGTCAGCCTTCCGTCAGGCTCAGTGCCAGCAGAATGCCTTGGCCGATGTGAATGCTGGCATGAGAGTCCTCCTCAAAGAAGGCACAGATACCATTGAGGACCTGAGCATCGCCTACGGAGGGGTTGGGGTGACCACCATCAGGGCACACAAATCCTGCCAGCAGCTCCTGGGGAGGTAAGCAGCGAACCCTGCACCCTGAGGTGAAACAATGTCAAAACAAAATAAGTGGAAATTTGGCTCCAGCACGTGTTGGTAAAGCCCTGGGAAGATGGAAACTCCTATGTGTAGAATCGCTATTTATTCTTTCCGTAATTTTGCTAAATGAATCAAACCTTATTCGACAGTGATTAATTAGGTGGCACTCTTTGGGTGAAGGATACAACAAAAACAGCCCAGGACGGCAGTCAGCTTCAGTTGTCTTGTGCACATCAACATCCAGCAATCCACACCGGGCAGCGCCCAAGGGGCACCTGCCGCTCCTGCCGCTCAGGTGCACTCTATTTCTTCCTCAGGAAAAGCAGCATCTAAGTCTGAGTCTTGTCCAGTTCATAAAGGAATTGACCCTAGTGGTCTATTTACTTACTGCCAGGTACCAGCATGTTCTGGCTCTTGAACATGTGTGGTTCATATTGCCATGGGACGGGTTCCATCCTCACCTTGCCACTTGGTGCAGCCTCCCAGGCCTCCGTCTTCCTGAAAGGCTTGCTTACGTGATTTCTAAGTTCCTTTCCAACTCATAAAAAAAAGACTCTGGGGTCTCTAAATGATCCCCGTCCAATACCTAGCACGTGCCACATGATTCAGACGGCCTTTAACTGGTTCCTTCCTGCCTCCAACCCTGCCAGGCGCTGGAATGAACTGATGCTAGATGAGGCTTGCAGGCTGCTTCTGGATGAAGTCTCCCTCCCAGGCTCAGCTCCAGGGGGAAGGGTGGAATTCAAGCGGACTCTGGTGGTCAGCTTCCTCTTCAAATTCTACCTCGAAGTTCTGCAGGAACTGAAGAAGCGAGTGAAGCTGTTCTCTGTGCCTGTAAGTGCTCTGGCATGCACGTGCCCCTTGCAGCCACAGTGCCCAACTTTCCCACTACTTTTTTTTTTTAATTTTATTGTTAGTTTCAGGTGTACAGAACAATGCAATAGTTACCCTTTTCACCCTCACAAAGTAACAACCCCCCTCCCCCCATCCACTGCCCTCCCACCCCCGATATCATGCTTATCTATTACAATTCCATTGAATCCGTTCCCGCACTCTACTCCATGTCCCGAGGTTATATGTATAT